GCATAATAAGGCATAAAAATGTCAAAAAAACTTCATAGTATAATGAGGCATAAAAATGTGAAAAAACGTAATAGCATAATAAGGCATAAAAATGTCAAAAAACATCATAGTATAGTTAGGCATAAAAATGACAAAAAACATCATATTATACATAGGCATAAAACTTCATAGTATAGTAAGGCATAATAAACTGAAAAAACGTCATAGTATAGTACGGCATAAAAAAGTGAAAAAACTTCATAGTATAGTAAGGCATAAAAAAGTGAAAAAACGTCATAGTATACTAAGGCATAAAAATGACAAAAAACATCATACTATATTAAGTCAAAAAACGTCATGGTATAGTAAGGCATAAAAAAGTCAAAAAACGTCATAGTATAGTAAGGCATAAAAATGGCAAAAAATGTCATTCTATACTAAGGCATAAAACGTTATAGTATAGTAAGGCATAAAAAACTGAAAAAACGTCATAGTATAATAAGGCATAAAAATGTCAAAAAACATCATAGTATAGTAAGGCATAAAAATTGATAAAAACGTCACATTATACTAAGGCATAAAACATCATAATATAGTAAAGCATAAAAAAGTCAAAAAATGTCATAGTATAGTAAGGCATAAAAAAGTGAAAAAACATCATAGTATAATAATGCATAAAAATGTCAAAAAACGTCATACTATACTAAGGCATAAAACGTCATAGTATAGTAAGGCATAAAAATGTCAAAAAACTTCATAGTATAATGAGGCATAAAAATGTGAAAAAACGTCATACTATACTAAGGCATGAAACTTCATAGTATAGTAAGGCATAAAAAACTGAAAAAACGTCATAGTATAGTAAGGCATAAAAATGTCAAAAAACATCATACTATAGTAAGGCATTAAAATGTCAAAAAAGTCATAGTATACTAAGGCATAAAAATGGCAAGAAATGTCATACTATACTAAGGCATAAAACATCATAATATAGTAAGGCATAAAAAAGTGAAAAAACGTCATAGTATAATAAGGCATAAAAAAGTTAAGAAATGTTATAGTATAATAAGGCACAAAAATGTTAATAAATGTCATACTATGTTTAGGCATAAAACATCATAGTATAGTAAGGCATAAATATGGCAAAAAACGTCATACTATACTATGGCATAAAACATCATCATATAGTAAGGCATAAAAAATTGAGAAAAAACGTCATAGTATAATAAGGCATAAAAAAGTTAAGAAATGTTATAGTATAATAAGGCACAAAAATGTTAATAAATGTCATACTATGTTTAGGCATAAAACATCATAGTATAGTAAGGCATAAAAAATTGAGAAAAAACGTCATAGTATACTAAGGCATTAAAATGTCAAAAAACATCATGCTATACTAAGGCATAAAACGTCATAGTATAGTAAGGCAAAAAAAAGTGAAAAAACGTCATAGTACAGTAAGACATAAAAATATAAAAAAAATGTCATAGTATAGTAAGGCATAAAACGTCATAGTATATTAAGGCATAAAAATGTCAAAAAACATCACATTATACTAAGGCATAAAACATCATAATATAGTAAGTCATAAAAAAGTCAAAAAACAGCATAGTATAGTAAGGCATAAAAATGTCAAAAAACATCATAGTATAGTAACGCATAAAAATGTCATAGTACAGTAAGGCATAATAAACTGAAAACACGTTATAGTATACTAAGGCATAAAAATGGCAAAAAATGTCATACTATACTAAGGCATAAAACGTCATAGTATAGTAAGGCATAAAAATGTCAAAAAAACGTCAAAGTATAGTAAGGCATAAAAATGTCAAAAAAACGTCAAAGTATAGTAAGGCATAAAAATTTCAAACAATGTCATACTATATCTAAGCATAAAACGTCATAGTATAGCAAGGTATAAAAACGTCAAAAAACATCATAGTATAGTTACGCATAAAAATGTCATAGTACAGTAAGGCATAATAAACTGAAAACACGTTATAGTATACTAAGGCATAAAAATGGCAAAAAATGTCATACTATACTAAGGCATAAAACGTCATAGTATATCAAGGCATAAAAAACTGAAAAAAATTTATAGTATAATAAGGCATAAAAATGTCAAAAAAACGTCATAGTATAGTAAGGCATAAAAATTTCAAACAATGTCATACTATATCAAAGCATAAAACGTCATAGTATAGTAAAGCATGAAAATGTCAAAGAATGTCATACTACATCAAAGCATAAAACGTAATAGTATAGTAAGGCATAAAATGTAGATTCATTATAAGGCATAAAAATGGAATGAAAATGTCAAACAACATTGTTGTACAGTAAGGCATGAAAGGTCTGAGTATAGTAAGGCCTAAAGTACAGTACAGAAAGGATTAAAAAGTCAAATAACATCATATTATAGTAAGGCACAAAACGTCATAGTATAAAAAGGCATAAAAATGTCAAAAAACGTCATAATATGGTAAGTTATAAAACTTCATAGCATTGTAAGACTTTCAAATTTCAAAAAATATCATAGTACTGTAAGAATTAAAAATGTCAAAAAATTGTCATAATATAGCAAGGCATAATAATTTCAAAAAGTATAAAAATGACAAAAAACATCATAGTATAATAAGGCATAAATCTTCATAGTAAATTATGGCATAAAACATCATAATATAGTAAGGCATAAAAGTAACCATAAATGTCATCCTTTAGTAAGGCATAAAATGTCATAAAAACGTCATGAAATATTAAGGCATTAAAATGTCAAACAATATTGTAGTATAGTAAGGCATGAAAGGTCAGAGTATAGTAAGACATAATAATGTCAAAAAATTTTATATTATAGTAGGCCATAAAAATGTCATAAACAGCATAGTACAATAAGGCATAAAAATTCACAGTTTAGCAAGGCATCAAAAAGTCAATAGTATAATAGGGCATTAAAGTAGCCAAGTAAGCTAATGTGCTTGTTTTTGGATTGCGGAATTAAGCAGGAGTACCTGGAGAGAACCCATGCAGTAATAGGATAAACATGCAAACTCCACACAGAATGGTCCTAGGCCCGGGGTTCGAACCCAGAACCATCTCACTGCGGGGCTACAGTAACACTACTGCCCTACCGTGCTACCCACTCGTATAAAAAATGTCATAGTATTCATCGTGACATTTCCAATGGCTGTCTCTGCATCACACTGAAATTCGCAGATTTTAGATTTTGCTTTTTTTTTTTTCAATGGTTCTGGAGTAAAATGTTAGTTATACTGATTATTCATTAATAAGTATCAACTTTACACCACAACATCTCCTCATTTTGACCTTAGCTGCACTATCTGTAAGTGGCTTGTGTGTGAAATCCCAGTTTATCTCTGAGTGCGTTTTGAGGTTTCAGCATCTGCTGAAAACCAAACAGGGGCCTCAAATTGTGCAGCCATCCCAGAATGCACTTTCTATTTTTGCTCCCCAACCTTTGTTCTGCCTCAGAGGAAGAGATGAGCCCTGCCCCTCTAATTAAGTGGTCGTAAAAATGCAGCAGAGCTGGGGGTGCCTGAGGAATGAAAATGAGTTCTGTCAGCCTGATAAACAGGGCCTTTCACCTCCACATTATCTGCAAAATGAAACTTGATTGGGTTCAGTGTGCTGGAGGAGACGGGTGTAAATCTGTGGAGTTTATTGGAAAGCTGGTATTTGTTGAGACAGGCATACTGTATGTGACAGGCTTAATCAGTGTCTTGCTCAGGTCAGGGATGTCAGCACAATAGCTGTGATTATATTAGAGAAGCTCATCAGTAATGTTGGGAAAATTGGGCAATTTCTTATCTGTTTTTCCTTCACGTAATTCTTCTATATCATTAATAAGCTTGATAATAGTAAATATCAAGACATATAAATCAAGCTTGATGGGGAATTGTTGCAGTATCGAGTTAGGCCAGCTCTCTCATGCTCACACACACTGTTATTACCTGTGTGAAATATTGTCTCTGCTGACAGGTTCCTCTGTAGTCTAATAATGTTGCTTGGTTTTCTGGACTTTCCCCAGCTTCTTTTATTTTGAGGCCACTCCGCACTAAATAACAGAGGAAGACGGGCTCTAGCTCTCTACAGTCGCCACACCTGGGCCTTCGCTTCCTTCCTGCCCTCCCCGGGAATTCTTCACTTTCACCACCTGCAGAGGGACAGTAGTGAGGTGGGAGGAGGAGGAGGGGAGGAAGGGTCTACCCCATTATACCTTTCCTCCCTCTTAGGCTCGGCTCTGCAATTTTATTCCCTCTCAGCACCATTAGAGTAACCTGTCCTGGCTTGTGCGGAGGCACAGTCCTGTTTTACTGCACTTCACAAATGAGACAGTGGACATGTGTGTGTTGGATATGTGCATGTGTACTGCAAGAGTAAGACACAGATGCAGAATACTTGTGTGTCAGCCTTATTAACATGTGGTTGTGGTCCACTTACACAATTACTATTTCACCTTTAAGCTACAGCTAAAAAAAAAAAAATTCTGACTGGGGAAATAAGCCACGTCATGAAACACACTCCACTCATGTGCAGGTTCAAATGTTTTGTGTTGCTAGTGTCCTCTGCTGGCTGCAAACTGAACTGAAGCCGTTTCCTTTCTCTGCAGTTAAAGTAAACATGTTTCCAGCATGGTTTCCTCATTATTGACTGGGCAGCAGTGTCATGATCTGTCGACTTGTTTCACATCTTGTTTCGTATTGTGAGATCATAGCTACAACTGTAATTTAGAAACCTTCTTGTGACTAATACTCAAAGTTATGTTGTACCAAACCAAAAGACCTTAAAATTTGAAATTGTAGCTGACACCTAAAAAGTTTACAAAATTATGGAAATTGGAAATTGAAATTAGTAAAATGATGCACAAGAAGCTGAAAAGTTGCAGCCATACAAAACTTCAATGAAGAGCTGATACAGATTATAGCTATATGTGCTGTCAGAGAGTATGGAATAATTGCATTGCAACAACCAAAAAGCAATTGATGAGGAAACAAGATGCCTATATGTCAAACTTTTAATTTGAAGGGTTAACGGATCACCAAGATTACATAAACGTTTCCTTTCGTTTATTTACAGAACACATCAAAAACAACGCGACATCAATATACACATAAACTGTTCACATGTAGCATGTTATAAACAGAGGCACAGTATTGTATGAGATAAGTATGAGGTACAGATAATAGGTCATGAAAATGATAACATCATAACAAATGTGTACATAAACAATGCAAGAATATCAACAGAGCTTTATTGTGGTGGTAGGTCCCTCTCTGGCGGAAATGGCTGCCCAACACACAAAAATAGTTAAAAGGAATGACCTTTTTTTTGTCATCATCTCATATACAACGTCAACACAAACTCAGCTGGGATTATCAACATTTTAATCTGTCTCCCAGAGCAAGTATATTGTATATGTCATAGACAGATGACCAGCTGAATATGTCCAATACTAAATTTATTTGTGCAATTCCAACACTGAGCGTTCTCACGTTTTAAAAACTAACGCAATGACAGCATTTGCTTTCTCAATATAGCAGCCTGTGTGTTTTTAAAAAAAAAAAAGTCAAATCAAATATACAAAATGGTGTATACTGATTGATTCTTGATACTGAAACACTGCAGTGCTGTTAGTGGCCACGTGCCCCCACAAAGAGTGTAAGGTTTGGCAGCTGGGTGAGTGGAATGCCACTGTCTTCTACACAAAGTACCAATGTGTTTTTAACCAACTCCTGTCAAGTCAATATATATATTAGCGTTTAATTAAAATACTTTTTTACTATGGTTTCTCTCATTTCAGAACACACACACATACACACACACTCACACACACTTCCATTAAACTGTTACTGACAGCTTTATAAGTGGTCATATTCACATCCATCTTATGAAGAAAATGATTTAACAAGTTCAGAGAAGCCAGGTACATGTACCGACGGCTGTGGTTTAAAAAAATAAAATTTTACATTGCATAGATAAAATAATCCTGTATGCGATGTAGCCAGTCCCAGAGTCCAAATTATACATATCTGCTGCACTTTCCTTTGCACAATTTTAACTCCATGAAGCAAAATTGCACGCTGGACAGATGCAGCATAGACATCGGCTACAACTTTACAGGAAGTTAATAGCTTGAATGAAGCTTGTTTTGGTTAAATAGTAGAAAGAAAAAGCAACATGCAAAACGTAGGGTTTTGTCCATAAAAAATTCTACGCATGGATAAGAAAAGCAGCTTTTGTGTTATGTCCTTAAAATACGATGAGAATGAATATAACTGTATAAGATATTACAGTTGTAAACCAGTAGAAAAAGATTACACATTTTTTAGAATTTTGATGTTTTCATAATTGGCTAATTTACATTTCATTTTACAGGAGAGGAAAATAACAAAATAGAAGGGGATTTATATTTTTCTACTTAAAGATGTAATTAAATGTCCTGGTGCTGGTAAGTGATGATAATGTATATAATATCCAGTTAATATCCAGGGTTAATGTTCAGGTCATCACCATCTTCAGTCTTTACATTTTGCCCTTTGTTCAGCTTTTCAGTCTTTATTTGTTGTTTGTCCAGGTGATCAGCTCCGGCCTACTTACTCTTCTGCGAGCCGATCATCACCTTTGACACAAAGTTGACAATGGCACTTGCTGGCTGCTCAGGGTCATGCTCTGCAAACAGGTGACATATATTGTCCATGGAAGTGCCAGTTTTCCTTGCCACAAAGCCGAAGATCCTGCAAAGATGGAGCAAAGTACTTAATAGCTGCGCTGTCATCTGCCTCAAACTGACCAATTAAATATAACGTTTAGTGTTCAGACCCTTCACTTTTTTGCACTTTATTCTGTTGTAGATCTGATCTTAACTGGATACAATTTTTGCCAATCTGCACTCACTAACCCATAATGACACAGTTTTAATTATCCTTGAGATGTGTCCAGAACTTGATTGAATTGATTGGACTTAGTTTAGAAAGACACACACTTATATATGTGTATATAAGCTCCCACAATTCGCATTGCATGTCAGGACAAAAGCCAGGCCATGGAGTCCAAGGAACCTTCTGTGTACCTTTTTGATAAACCTGTGGCAGGGTATAGATGAAGGCCAGGGTATAAAACCGTTTCTAAAGCTTTGAATGTTCTCAGGAGCAAAGTGGCCTAAATTATTGTGGAATGGAAGAATTTTCAAACCACCAGGACTCTTCCTAGAGTTGGCTGCCAGGCCAAACTGAGTAAACAGGCAAGAAGGGCCTTGGTCATCGAGGTGACCAAGAACCAATCTGTCCTCCGCAGAGATGGGAGAATCTGATGGAATGACGGCCTTTTCAGCTGCACTCCATTAATCAGGCCTGAATGCACGCGATCTGAGATTGGGGCAACGGTTCACCTTTCAGCACGAGGATGACCTGAAGCATACAGCCAAGACAACTCTGGAGAGAGTCTCTGCTGTCCTTGTGGCCAAAGCCCAGACTTGGACCACATAGAACAACTGTGCAGTGACCTGAAGTTGCCAGTTCAGAGGCGCCTCCCCTCCACTCTGACAGAGCTTGACAGAGAATGGGACAAACTGCCCGAATCCAGGTGGGCAAAGCTTGTCGAGACTTTCCCAAGAAGATTCAAAGCTGTAATTTCTGCCAAACAAGCCTCTACAAAGTACTGAATTAAGAGTCTAAATACTTTTGTAAATGAGAGTTTCTGATTTATAATAAATTTGCAAAAATTTCTAAAAACATGTTTTCAATTTATCATTATGGATTATTGGTTGCAGTTTGATGGGGTAAATGGCAATGTCATCCATTTACAATGAAATCTAGAATAAAGTAATTAACAGAATAAAGTGTGAAAAAGTGAAGCACTCTGAACACTGTAAATGAAATGAAACGCTGTATGTAAAAAAATAACAATTGACTTACTTTGCTGAAGGGCAGCCATCTTTTTTCCACCTATGTTCAGTGAAATGAGGACAACAGTCAGTTGGAGGATTAGTTAGTCATCGTCTTATTAGAACCATTTCATGGGTTGATTTGCTGATATTCCTTTGCTCATGTAATTTCTTGCTCACCCTGTAATTATCTAGGAAACATTTTGTTATGCCACTCCTTCTTGGAGTAATAACAGGTTAACCTACCAATAGCCATGGTGACTAACACTCTGATAACCCTGCAGTGACGTGTTCAGACTGTAAATTAGCAATACTCACTTTCTATCTTGAGGGTCCAAGGCACAAAAGATGACTGTATTGACATTGTAATGCCTCCTGAAGAAGAGTCTTAAAAAAAAAAAAGGACAAAATGATGGTTATTGTGAGAAGTGGGTTTTTGTGTGTATGTGTGGTGTAAAAGTGTTTTTGGTACTTACTTCCTCTGGTTGTCAGTGAGGGTGATTCCCTGGGAGGAAACTTTGAAGTGGACCACGGTGGAGGTTGGTGGAGGGTTTGAGCTCAGAGTCATACTGGTGGCTTTCTGCACTGCCTGGACACCCGTCAGGGACTCCATCTCCACTGAGCCCAGGTACCACACGTTACAGGCTGCAGGAGCACACAGACTGAAATTACACTCAGATCACAACAGCTAGGTGCAAATAACGCTAGAGCAAGTGCATAAGTGACAAAGTCCTACAGTCCATAATAACGGGACGAGAAAAAATGGCTACGTGTGGATGCGCTCATTTCCAAAAGTGTCACCGCACCGCACACAAGGATTGTGTCACTGTTTATGTACAGTGCCATCACTACTCAGTCATAATGTCTATCCAGAGGGAGTGACGTTAGACAATTACCTGCACCCTGTTTTAGCAGCTCAGCAGCAGAGTTGGTGACTGATTGTGAGATATTCTCCACAACATCTTCAAGAGGATCTGCGAACAAGAAAAGCAAAACAACGTCAGTGAGGTTATTTTGTGAAAACCACAACGTAAACAAATAAAATGACTTAATGGCCAGACAGCTAAATAGACAGACTGGAAGCCACAAAACCCAAATAATGTTTATTTTCTATTCTGACCATAATCTTCCTCAAGAAAATAAAACTGTGTGCGACTGTGTGTGAATGTTTACCTCTGTCAGGTATAATAAGTTTACAGGGCAGGGCCAAGGGAGTGATTGAATGTTGGCAGACCAATGCGGTTAAGCTTCCTGTAAAAGAACAGCATATAAAATCAAAGTTACAGTCAGATTTGCTGATTTATTATCACATCAATCACTTGCTTATTACATCTTCTACTATTACTGAAAAGATGACAAAGAAATTAAAATAAAATCATTGATAATACTGTTATGGCAAATGACAATCTTGTTGATGTGTTAGCCACATCAACTCAACTGTCTGCTGCAGAGATACTGTAGTTATCCAGTGCTAGCCACTGGTACAATGCAACGCAGACCAGTAGAGGGCAGTGTTGTGCACAAATGCTTGACCTTTGGTGCTGTGATGCCAAACAGCCAGGAGCTGTCACTGTTGGAAGGCAAGTGTGCAGAAAGAGGTTTTACCAGAGCAGGCACTCACCGAAATAGGGCTCATTGGGGCAACCCTTCAACCGCACCCCTTTCTGTGTACACTCAATCAGGAAGTGGCGTACTAATTCATTGGATAGATCGCCTCCTGTGGGGGAAAAAAAAAGGACAGAAAGAGGATACAGAAGGAAATATGAGAGATAATTAACTCCTCTAACAATTCCTCTGTGGTCTGATTTATCTAAACTGTCCTCTATCTGACACCCTAGATTTACTCTGACCTAAATAACAGCTCCAAGCATTTATCTCAGTGCGACACATAATTTCCCAGCCTTTAAGAGTTACATAAAACATATTAAATCACTACATTCAATCTCCCCCAGAGATTAATGGGATTATGATTCAACAGAAGCGCCTCTGAGGGGGCAGGAGGAGTCTATGTGAGGAATGTCTTTGACACAAAGGCTTGGAGAAAGGCCTGCTCCTTAAGGTGGGTTGGGTTTCACACTTATAAGGAACCACAATGCCCTAAGCTGAGAGTGTGGAGAAGGACCATGTCATGATGTCACCACAGGTGCCGTTGGACTGCGGAGGGGTAAGAGCAAACAAAAGGGCAGGTGTGAGTGGGGGATGAAATGAAAGGGTTGAACACTGTGGTGGGCTGGTAGAAGAAGGGCATAAGGGCATCCTTTGTGCCCTCATGTGTTGTTTTTGTCAAGAAAAAAAAAAAAAAAACCTTATAAAGATTCCAACTCGTTTCTGATACACGCTGTGTGGGTTTTAATGTCTGGCGCTTTTTTTTTTCTTTTTTAAAAAAAATAATAATAAAAAAACGATTGCGTGAATCTCTATCACTGCTTAATCAGCCTTTGTTTTCATGTTGAAGCATGGCCAGAGAATGTTTGGACAGATTCCTCTAGAGACTTTGTTTATTTTCCAAGGAAAAAAAAAATCTCATCCCCTATTTCCTGAAACAAACACACTAGGAAGTAAACATCGAAGCAGCCTGTTTTGAACCCAATCCCTGGATATAGCATCTTGTTATGTGGGGCAGCGAGCTTCCCAGGAGAAGGCCCCGGGATCAGAGCAGGCTTATGGACTCGCCACATCCTTTGTGAAGGGGTGAAACATTAGCTGTACATCTAAGACTATCAGGCAATAGGGGTCTGTTTGGCTTCATCACGATGATGCCCGGGAGAGAGACACAGTGAGGAGCTCTCACACACACACACAAACAGAGGAGGGAACTCTCATGTTCCACCACGAAGGTGAGTACAGTGGGCTGTAACTGTAGATGGCTTTTTTGTGGGATTGTGTGATGGTTGATTCCCATGAACACTGTTGGATCAGTCTCTGATACCTGACTACGATAATTGAGAGAATGCTTTTCAACATTTTGGGAAACACACATTTAATCCACATTTCCTTCTTTTCTTAAAAAGTTAGGAACATTACATCACATGTGTTGTACCTTTCTTGGTCTGTTGGAGAACGGAGGGTGGGGGTGTAGCCACCTTCATCGCCAGCCCATAGGCCCCTCTGAAGGAGTGGCTGTCCCTCACGATGAAGCAGCCAGGCTCCTTGTCCTTCAAGACTGAAATGGCTGAGGAAAGAGAAACATAATTATGAGGCTGCTCGATAGTTCAGTGGAAAAGTTTTCTTTCTTTTTTTTTTTTTTTTTTTTTTAGATAAAAAGTGGACGCTGGAAGCCTACCTTGATCCCTTGAGATATCTGGCTTATACCAGAATTTCGATGTGTCCTGCACAAATTTTACAGTAACCTGCTTGCTGGCCAGTACATCTGAAAAAAAAAAAAAGCACACAATCATCAGCCAAAAGAGCTTTAGTAGGATTAATTTGTGGGTGTTCATCACCTCATGTGACACCAATGAGACATGAGCTTACCTGGCAGAGGTGAGGCTGTGCCTGGTGTCTGAGCTGACAGGTCAGGCAAGACGTTGGGGAAGGGGATGCTAACGGAGCTCCCACTGTGGGGACTCGAGAAGCCGCTGAGGGCTGGAGAGGCTGTTCCCAGCGAATGCTCCCCGTCCGACGCCCTCTTCTTCTCAGGCAGGAGTGGGGGCTGTATCTGGGGCTGACTCTGTGATTGACTCTGCCCATCCATGGAGGTCAAAAGATCCCTGTCCATGCCTCCATTTCCCAGCAGAGAAGAGCTGGCGTTTGGGCAGTCCGTGCCGTAGCCGACACCCGTGTCATCCTGCTCGTCAAAGCTTTGAGCTGGACTGTGGCTGAGAGCGTAGCGAGCCATGCGGCTTCGCTGGCTGCTTCGAGGAGAGCTGTGGGCGTTGGGGGCCGGGTGGATATGGGGGTGGTGCAGGGGAGGAGAGTGGTGGCCGTAGTCCAGTGAGATGGAGTGCTGCGGTGGTTGTCTGGTAGAGGTGTAGCCGCTCAGGGAAGAGTGGCGGCTCAGGACGGGATGCTCTGGCCAGGACTGGTTCATAGATGAGCTTGAGTTAAGAAAAAAAAAGGTCACTGACATACAGTAAAAGAAAAGTGTTTAATCTTTGGTAATAACACTAAAACCACGACCAAGACTCCCACTTTCTAACTACTAACTTACATCCTCTTGTAGTAAAACGGTTAATGCTGCTTCATGTTTTTGCAAAGGTAAGATTTCTACCTGTCTGTCCGCTTTAGGGTCCCAACAGTGGAGGCAGAGTGTGTAGCACTTAGCGTCCTGTGGCAGTTGATGGATGAGTCTGGCAAACCGTCAACTCCAACATGGCCGATCATCTCTGAATATTCCCGCAGTTCTGCATGAGAGCAAGAAAACAATGTGTCAAGAGTTCTTCAAGCATAATTTTGAACACACTCAAAGTCGGGATGGAGCTGTTTGTGTTTTAAACGCTGTAAACATGAAAATAAATACACACAGAGAGAAAAAGCTGCACAAAACAAACTTTAGAACTTAAAATAAGCAAAGATAAACTTGCTGAAACAAATAGGATTACATGATATGGGAAGAAAAATCCCTCAGGAAAGAGCTCTGGGTTCTTTTCAGCAACAAGCAATCAATGTTGGAGTTGAAATGAAATGAAAACTATCCACATGGCCTTGCACCCAGCCATCAACCTATATAAAACCAATTACCAATTACCGCCGCCACAACCCACGGAGTCAACAAATCAAACTCAATTGCAGCTAGAAATTAAAAGCCCTCTGACATAATTATCTAAAAGCTTCATTCTAATCAGTCAAAGTCTGGAGCCGCTGACAGCCGCAGATCTAACAGCTCATGTTCAAACTCAGGCTCTACAGCCAGGGTTTCTCTGGGTAACGTTTATGGGAGCAAGAAGTGCAAAGCAAGTGAAAGAGTTTCTTCTTGTCCCCGTTTCCCCTCTGTGTACACAGAGACAAATGTTTTTTTTGTGTCATGATTCCTGACCCACAGTCACCATGGAGATGTGGCAGGGCTGAATGCGATGATTCTCGCCTGGACGTCTGAGGTAGTAAGAGGCAAAGCAGGGGCACAGATCTGCTCCCAGGCCCTACAACCTTTAGACATACTGTCGATCTCTATGGAAACAAGTCAATGAGAGGTCAGCATCGAGTGAAAATGAAAGTAAAGCTTGGGTTCATGGCGAGATCATCTATCAGTATGTGGGCAGTTCCTGACATGTACAATCTTGTGCTTTTGTGACAACACTGATCCAAAAACATGCCACAGCTAACTCAATTTAAACCTTCTGGGATGCAACACAACACCAGTTCTACATTGTTTTAGATTTCTACTTCTATCATTAAGACAGAGTAAACAATAAAAAGAATTTAAAAAAAACAACATGGAGGAATTTGGGAAGTTACATCAACAGCGAGGGTGTGTTCCACCTCGGATAAACACCAAAGAAAACAAAAAACATCCACCAACAAAGAAACACAGAGGGGATCAGTTTTATCCTAAAGAACAACACTGTTATGTCTAAAAAAAAAAAAAAAAAAAAGTTTTCCCTTCTGGCTGTGACCACGCAGACATTCTCCAAAACCCAAGCAAGAAGGGCAGAGACCAGTGAGGAATCTCCCTGCTTTCTCATTCATGAGACGTCTTTGTTTTCAGCCTCTGTCTCAAAACCACTAAAATTCCACGAACAACAAGCTCACCATTATTAGGTAAAGCAAGGGGGGACCTCAGATAGTTCTGCTCTAATGAGACAGTGGTTCCAAACAGTCAGTCAGAGGGCAGACATGAAAGACGACTCCTGGAAAGACCGTGTCTCTTCTTGTCACTCTATCTTTAATTGGTTTGAGGGAAAAAAGACAAGTACGCTCATAGAAGAATAGTGTAAATGTTTGTTCTTCACAGCACTTTGGTCAATGGTTTTACCTCCTATAATAAAGTGCTTCACATCCATAGGGTTAGAAAAAGGTCAAATGTTCTGTATTTTTAGTTCACAATGAAATGACATTTCTGTATTTTAAATATATACCATCAAATTACATGGAGAATTGTTTTTCTCTACCAATGTTCTGTGTCTATTCTTAAAGGCAGCTGTTAAGTTCACAAAGAAAGACCACTTTCTTCCCTCAGACTGAAGACTGTTCATAATGGCTTCATGTGATGCTCTGTTTTCTCAGAAGAATGAGTTCATTCTGCATTTTGAACCTACCATGGTTTGTTCTGTAGCCTCCATATGACTGCATGCTTGGAGATGGCATTTGCCTGAGGTGAGTTAATTCTGACATATTTTTCACTGAAAGCACAAAGGAAACAATGACAGGGACTTTAAATGAAATCAGACAATCAAAGCTGGTCAGAAATAAATGCAAAATGAGATATTCCCCCAAAAGGAACCTATTCACAAAGACACAGGAGACACACTGTACTTACCATATGGTGTAGGTGGAGAGATGGGGAAGGCAGGAGTGGGTGGGGTCATGTCACTCCCGGCCTCGACCCCACTGTCCATGTCTGGGCCCTGGGCCCTGTAGTCAGCGCTGTCACTCCTGTACAACATGGGATGCTGGAACACACAGACATAGGCACGTAAACTAAGCATCCACGCATGGGAAAAACAACATACATACAAGCACTACACTTTGTGCACATGTGCTGCATTTACCTGAGACTGTGGCACACAGGGGGAGTATGTCCGCTGGCCCCTGTACTCCTCTGTCCCGCCCCACCCTGAACTACAGAAGCCTGGGTGATCCGTCACATCGCTTCCTTGATGACTCAAACTCCGTGTGACACCCACCCGTCCCTCACTGGACTGGACAGCTGGACACACACAGGTAGACAGCAGCAAGTGGGTCATTAAATGTTAACTGACTTACAGGCATCACTGATTTCAAGGACGTAAAACACATCAAAATACTGAAAGGAAAAGCGCTTTGACCTTTGGTGCTTTTCAGAGTTTTACTCAGCAAAAATTCACACGTTCTTTGGATCATGTTCTCTGGAAATGTTTAAACATTTTCACAGCAGTGTGTCTTGAAGTTTTATTAGTTTTCAATTGCAGCTAGCCATTATTCAACTGGAAAAGACAAATTAGAGAAACAATAACTATATACCATCATATCATCGATATGATGATATATAGTGGTATATTGAGCTGAATTTGATAAATTATAATTCTGATTCATTGCACTAAATTCAGTCATTTCAGTTCACATTTTGATGTAGACAGCTTTGTAACCTGGGTTGGCTACTTTCATGACTTCTCTCTGTAACAAGTTTGGGACTGATGACATTTTTATTCAGTCAGTCTATAAACTGAAATGACCACACTGCTAACCCCAGGGTGCTGCTACAGTCGTGTTTTCAGAGGACACGACAGCTGAGGAATTCCAGGGTTCTGGCTGGTGGTGTGGAGCATGTGTGTGTGTGTGTGTCTGTGTGTGTGTGTGTGTGTGTGTGTGTGTGTGTGTGTGTGTGTGTGTGTGTCAGGGTGGTGGTGGAGGGGTGGGGGTTCAATGTTGTGACAACTCTAAAGAGTGCTGCCACTCAGCACCAGGGTGTTAATTTGAGCCCTCCCAGCGAGCTTGGCCTCTCATCCCTGAAGAATGCTAATGGTGCAGAAGTGTTACTGCCGGGGATCATTACTCACTTGGTCTGGGGCGAATATGGATGACACAGACAGTGTCATGCATACTTGCCGGTGTTTCTCCATGCATGCGTTTCAGTTAAGCACGTTCTTCTAGAACATGCATTTCATGCATATTTTATACAATAAATGAATCATAAATGAAATAACTCTGATATCAACTGAAGAAACTGCAGATGCATTTTGCAAACATGTATTGTTTTTTTGGGTCTTGTGCCAAAAATGTGTTTGGAAAAAAAAACTCAACAAAAAACAGACTAAATATAATATAAATGTTACAAAAGTGTTATTTCCTCCTGCAAGTCATGAAGGTGTGAAGAGCTTTTTTTATTTGGACCAAATTTCTCCTGCAGGCTTTTCTTTGGCCTCCAGTGGAGATCATCCCCAACCTTACTGAGCTTTTGTCACTCATCAGTTGCTGTACGTCAGCCCCAGTTCCCTTAATACAACACAAACACTTCAACCTCCGTCCTCCATCTCCCTCCTCTTCCTCTCCTCCTTAATGCAGTTAAAGGTGTTGAAATGACTTGGCAGACAATCATGAATTATCCATGAAACAATTTAATCAGCCTTCCTTTATCTTAAATAACTTTTGCTCCAACTTCATGTATTGACACAGCTCTGCAGAACGACTCTGAGCCATGACTCCTATCACCATTGCAAATTTATATATAAAAGCCTACATTAATCTGCAACCAACCCATCGCTTCCTATATGTTATTTGTGTATTAGCAAAGTTGTAGCCTTCGGCGTTTGTTTCTTGGAATGATACTTCTGTGTAGCTGATATGCACAGACAGGTATGCCTTTGGAATCGAATGGAAAAAACTTTGCCTCCGGGCTCACTTGTTCCTCTTTTGGAAATTCCTCAGGCCTCCCCATCCTGTGCCCCCCGCCCCTTCCCCTGCAACCACATGTACATGTACTAGAGTGTGATTCACGGGCTGCTAACATCCAGACAGCTTTTCTGCATTTTCTCTGCCTCACTGGCTTTCAGCTAAAAACATATTATGGAGCGCTATTGCACCAACAGTTAGTATGACTATTCTGAAGCCAACAGTACCGAACTTCATAACCTTTAAGGCTGAGCCAAATCTGACATAAAAAAAACCCAAAAAAAACAACTCTTATCTTCGTAACACTGAAAAGAGATCATCAACATCACATGATAGACAAATCCAAAATGTTGCTACATTTTTCTTATGATGTTTATCACCACTTTAGGGCTCGGGGAAAAACAAATTTAAGATAGAGAGTGGAATTTTGTAATTTAGCAATTTATATGAAGCGTGCAAGGAAGAAATACTTTGCAGCATTTCAATATCATAGGCTGCATCTTTGAATATGGCCCTGGGATCAGTTTCAATGTGAATGTATTGGGAATAACGTTGGTGAATATGATAGATACAAAAATCATTGCGATGCATAACCGCTTTAAGCACAGCAAATCTAACAACAACAATCAAAGATGACGTTATACTATTATAGTTACGTATCATTGATAGGAAAGAGCCTGGACAGTTGGAAGTGCAATGCTGCACAACAACAACAGGACAAAGTAATATAAGGAGAGATCTACTAGAGATGACTAACATTAAATGAAACAAGCGGTGTCTGCGTTATATACGTAATGCTTAAAATCTCTACACACAACAATAACCTTGCGGTCTCGGGGGATGTCTGAGGTAAACACAACTATTCTAAGGACTTTGATTTATCTGTATTCCTCAGAATGCAATCTCTATAATCCAAACACTGAGAGACGGCAATGTTCAGAAAGTTCGATGACAGCTGCCCTCCCTCTGTTCATGTACCATACTGATCCTGTAGTCAGATAGCTCCGCAGACAAGTCTGGACAGTGCTCCTTTCCTCAGAAACATACTGAAAACATCTGAAAACCTGGCAACCACCCTGCTATTTCTGCCACTAAAACACGCCAGGTGGGAGAAGGAGAGAAGGTGTGCTTTGTTCAGTGAACTCTGTAGTGCAGGAGAAGAAAAGCTGATGCTGTCGGAGAGGAGCTGCTCTTGTTTTAAATCATTCTCAGCGTGTTCATTGAAGTTGTTTTATAACTTAATTCATTAACATATTTATTAGACATTTCTAGCAAAAGCACTTCTCTGGTTTCATAATGATCCGTCACACATTTCTTTTCACGACCACACTTCCAGACCACACCACATCATCATCACCACCACCACCACCACACCCAGACTGTCTGACTGTCTTACCTGTCTGCTGTGTGTTTGTCAGGGTTGCTGCGTTATTATTGCTGAATCTGAGATTGATGCCGTTTGAGCATTTGCCGCCTGAGCTGTTTACATGCGCGCTGCCATTCCTCTTAACGGAGCTCGATACAGGCACAAATGTGGGGTCCAGGTCCATGATGAGCTGATTGAGCTGATCGATGGAGTTGTCAATGTCCATCGTTAAAGATTTGAACTCCTCGTCCTGTTTGTTGTTGTTGTTATTGTTTATTGTCGTCTGTTCCTTGTGGGGTGCTGTGTTTCTCAGAGCATCCACTGTTGTGTCCTTCGTTGGGCCCTGTGGTTCAGCGGGCAGGCCTGTTTTGGGTAAACTGCTCCCCTGCTTGCTCCCTGGGTATCTTTCAGTCTCATTTCCTTCCTCTGGCATGTAGATAAACTGTTGTGCAGCAACCATCTGCTGCTGGCGAACCCAGGACTGTGTGGAATAGCTTCCCTGTCGGTAGACATGCTGCTTGGGCATGGGAGCACTACCGGGATTAGAGGAGGCCACAGAGTTGCTCCGGGAGCTCAGACAGCCCCTTCTAGCCTCGGCGTAGGATCTCTCATATTCCTCCATGGGAGGGGGTGCAGGATGGTGAAGGTGGTGCTGGCTTTGGCTCTGCTGCTCCTCTCCTCCAGGACTCCCGAAGCCATCCGACAGCAGGGAGTTCTGGCTGCTCTTGTGGCAGGAGGACGACAAGGTTCCCAAGCTGTCCACGCTGTGTAGATCGTGACCCGTAATAACCTCATCATCCAGAATGTCCGTTTCCCTCTCTCTGGGACGGGGGTCTCCGTTGATGTGCACTTGGGCTGGGACTATCTGCTGGACGCCCACCCTTGGGCCTTGATCATCCATCTCCTCCAGTGAGGGGTCCTCAAGACCAAAGCCGCTTAGGAGGCGCTTCAGCTGAACCTTCTCCTGCTGGCTGGGGCCCTGGTTAGCCCTGACGACGGTGACGGTGGCAGTGGCGGCGGCGGCGGTGGCGGTGGTGATAGGTGTGGGTCTGTCTGCCCACAGGGAAGTGCTAGACAGACCTGAGTCACTGCTGACAGAGAGGGCGTGGTCGCTGTGGTCAGGGCTGGATGTGGCGGAGGTCGTGCGGGCCCCTCGGCCCAGCGTTGCCTCTCCTCCGCTGGGGCTCCTCTTGCTAGCCGCTTTGTCCTGGCTTAGGCCTTGAGAGCGTGGCGCTGCAAAATAGAAGAGATGCAGCGCTTCATACAGTCAGCTGGTATGGGCACACGTACACACAGAGACACACAAATAGCTCAGACAGACAAATACAAACGGCACAAAACCACACACAACACGAGACTCCATGAACAAGCACAGTCATGTCATCCCACAAACTCCACCATTCACAATCTGTCATTGACAAAGCTCAACACTCACAATCGCACCTCACCTGACAAAGACAACATTCCAGACAATACAGAGCATCAGACTGCAAATAAGTGGGGAATCAATACATTGGCAGAGAAAAATGTGAATCATGTTACTGTATTGGAGACAAATCGCCTAATTAGATGTGTCAGAAAAAAATAACATCAAATAAATCCCTCTTCTTGACATTCTAATCCATTCATTTTTACTATAACAACTTGCCTCTCTCCCATCAGGCCATCAGGTGAACTACCAAGGTGCTAGTGCATGCAGTGTGCGCTCAGATTATATAAGAGATGTTAAGTCTTCTGTATGCCACTACAAGAGTCAGACTGTCAGACAGGCTGTGGATCTTCAGAGTCTTGACCCCTGCATTCCTCACCCCGCTGTGATTAAGCCATCCTACTCCCTCTTGCTTGCCACTTGACCCCAAACATATGTCCAAACAACCTTCTTAATCCTCAGAAGTAAAATAGAAATCACAGAAAGTCAGTCATCTTGCAAGGTAAGAGTCAAATCCATCATGACATAGACAATAATTAAACATTAAAAAAAAAAAGACTAGACTTACACAAAATGAGTGTTGGAGAAGAATTCCTAGTGCATGTGAGCGGCGTGGCCAAGTAAGTGAAACTGCTGTTTCACTGTCACTCCTCAACAAAAGAGCTGGAACATGACTCCTATGCTTCTCCCACAATCTACCGCCTTAAGTACTTGCCTTTCAGTCAAACTATGACTGGAGGATCTGAATACCAGACACGCATGATAAAAGCTCCCCCTCCTCTTTTTCCTCAAGAAAGCTCCTGTATGTATGCTCCCCTCCTCCTCCTTCTCCTCCTCCCTTAACCCCCTGCATTCGGCCCTGAGCAGCCTCGGCTCAGGCCTCCATGCAGGTCAGTTCTGCTGGGAGCTTTCCAACAAATCCCTCTGGTAACATTCCCTCTAGGAAGATGCGAGCAGACTTTAAGACAGATGCTCCCCCTCTACCTCAGCACTGGCCATCTTTCTCTTTCTCTGTCACCCCTGTCATCCCCCCCCCCCCCCCCCCCCCCCCCCTTCCCCATGGCCCCCCATCTGTCTCAAAAAAAAAAAAAAAAATCTCTTACCTTCGCTGCCACTGCCAGGTAAGAGCACAGGACAGTCCCCATCTCCAGTAAAGCAAAACTTAAAGAGGGGAAAAGGCCACGCAGACACACGAGAGCGGACATGGCTTTTCACCAGGAAATAATGGTCAGGGTCAAATCAAGAGAGTTCCAATAAGTTAGCCCTGCTTTCTTTCTCTGCTGAGAAGGTGAGAGTGTTTGCACTCCACACAAGGGGGACCTTGAGATCTCCAAATAAGGACAGAGGAATGTAAACAAGTGGGGCGGGGTTTAAGGGAGGGGGCGGGCCGTAGGAAAGCAGTAACCCGACCTCTTGCCCTGCATTAGGGGACTACCCCACTGGGGGGGGGGGGGAAGAAAGAAAAGGAGAGGGCGGCCGAGAGAGGATCAGAGAATGAAAACAACATTCCTGCAGCTCCAGACTTTTTCACTCTGTAAAAAGACACTTTTTAATTAAAGCAATCCTTGCCTTCTACTTGGGAGCTCTGGGCAATTCTCATGAAAAGCAGCAGCCAAGTTGTTTTTCTCTCACTCTTGTGTGTCATGAAATTACACGCCTGCCGTCCTCATGTACAATATCACCATGAAACAGATGTGCCTTAAACTCAATTATGGGGTTCAACAATTGTTATAAAAACTTTTTTACCTATCAGGATTACACTGACATTAACAAACCAATGAATGGTTAACCAAATATGTCCTTAGCCAGTGAGCTTGAGAAAACCAGTCAAACCATTTATATCTAGTGTTCATGAGGTTGGTCGGTGTGGTACAGTGAGTCCCTGAATAATCCACCAATTACAGTGCAGAGAGCGGCGAGACCGGAGCTGTTCCTCTAGCTGCTCTCGTATCGCAGGAGGAGGTCCGGTCGTGTACGGCTATGCAATTACCCAACCCTTTCCATTCCTTCTCAGTTACTCTGCACCACCTGAATGCCAAATCGGTGAGTCAAAAGCATAATGACGATCATCATCATCATCATCATAATCATCATCATCAGTTTCTTCCGCCCAAGCTCCTACACGTGCCTCCGATGTGTAGATGACAGCTCTCTGGGAAATGTATCCGGTGTACTACTTGTACAGAACATACTGTACATGCGGAAAATGAAGGGAGTAACAAACTACTCACCTGTAGTAGTACCGAGCCATGCAAATAGTTTTTGAATTTGTTCAAGCTTTGAGAGTTCATCATTGAGAATTTTGCCTCTGCTCCGATACAAAGAAGGTGAATCGTGTTTTATTAGTGCTGCTCAAAACATGGAAAAACTACAATAAAAAACATCAACAGAAACAATTATTACTAAAAACAATATCCTGGTTACTATGAAGAATCCACAGACTTTGCTGTAATCAGTTTTTGGCAACTCTTTTAAATTGATATTCAAGTGGGTATGGGTGGGTATGGGCAACTCAACAACTTGTACGTGGTGGATCTCTGAATGACATGTGATGTGTTACGTCTTACAGACACATACTGTACATAGCGTCAGTATTTTCAAGGCGTTCACATCATCGTCTAATGGTTATGTTCAGATGCTCCATACAGTTTACTTAATTAACAATTTCAGTTCAGTCGTTGTAGGTTGGAGTGTTGTGTTGGTGGATGCAGCCATTTCCATGTTATAGCTGTCCTGCCAAAAGGCCAAAATTATATTCATCCCATTTATCTGGGATTTTGTCCAGGTATATGATGCGATGAAAGAATATCTATTGCGAATGTTATCATTATCTCTTCAATCACCTCTTGCAAATATTGAAAAATTAAAGGACAAGCCCAGAAAATACGACAACAATCTTGATTTTTTTTTTCAACCAAATGGCCCCTAGCATTAGTTTTGTCCCTGAGAGACATTAATAAATTAAAAAATTTGAACTTTGTGATCACTAAATATCAGATTATGTTTTCTCATGGAACTGCATCCTACCACAGAAATAATTTCCATAAGGATTAGAGATTGAAAGCAAGGTCTGTGGATTATTCAGACTGACGGGGACACTGGCTCTGGAAAGAAATGTTGCTGTTGAATTTGTAAATTGTAATTTTTGAATGCTTTGAGCCCAGCAAACAATATCCCATTCACCTCCATTATATTGGTGTGGCAGCAGAAGTCTCAAACATCGCAAAAATTCTGTGAATAAAGCCACGACAATCTGGATATTTGAATACTACTAGTACTTCCTTTTGTAATTTGGATGAACCAACCCTTTAAAGAGTCAGTGGATATGAGTTATCGAGGGGCTACAAACATTTCTTGTTACCACTTACGCATGAGCCAAACCATACATAAATTTCAACTACTCATTTCTGCAAGCAGCTGCTGGCCAAGCCACTCAAAGCCAATGACCTGCTATGACCGTAAACTCAAGTAAACAACCTTTCTGGAAAAACAATCTTTTAAAATTCAGCGCTTAATTCACACATGGAGATAAACACACACTCCCAATGGTGATTGGTGATTGAAAAGCCATTGAAGTAAATTAGGTTTTCTTTTCACAACCTTAGCACTACGGTGGCAAAGGTTTTTTTAGACTTCCTCCTCCTGAGCAGCCTCTGAGTGACAGCCTTTCAGAGGCAAACTGGGCCTGCCACAGGACTGGTGGTAAGTAGATGTAGAATTCCAACAAAGCTCCCAGTCTTCCCTCTCAGATGTAGTGTTTACATGAGAAAAACAAGGCTGTAAATATCCCACATGAATGCTTTGGAATAAAGGCAAGAGAAAATATTGCTTCTTTGTTGATGTCTTTGCTGTGCTTTGATGAATTCTTCAATTTGAGTGGTTGCTCTTTAATTGAATTCCCAGAGGTGTTGCATAAAATTCTATATGGATGTGTTGGGATATTTTAAATGAAAAAAGAAAAAGGCAGCTCATTTTCATCAAGCTGCTTATAAAAGCTCTCAATGAACACTGGGAAAGGGTGGATATGTGTTTTAATGCCACCACCACGTCGCTCTATTCTGGGAGGTTGTTGTGAATTCTGTGGTTGAGTGGAGAGCAACAACCGCAGCTAGGACGGGACGCCCCGACAGGGTGGCTCTGAGTGTGAGAGTGTGTGCGTGTGTGCGTGTGTGTGTGTGTGTGTGGGATGGTTAAAGCATGCCTATTCATTTGATGAAACAACAAAATAGAAATCTCTTGAGAACTAGCTGCTCTTCCTTTGAAAACAGCACTCACTCCTTACAACAACACTCCTCCTCCCTATCCCTCACACAGAAACAACACTGCTTGTCATACCAATCATACTGCAACCGTAAGACTTTCTTACACTGAGATAAATTTTCGCCTCCATTTCTTTTCCTCACCATAATAAAAACGCAGGCAGGTTCTGTGGAAACAAGACTTTACATCCCACTCATGAGCAATAACTCATGCTACCAATGACTGCAACATAAACCAAGCCAGTGGTGACCGGTTGTGCATGTTAATGTAATCACACTGCAGTCCCTCAATAACATGGGGCACAGGACCTGTCATGCTGTGTTAATTCCCTGAGAGAAAAAGAGAGTTTGTGCTTACGTGTTTGTGGAAGTGAGAAACAGAGAGAATGCACTGAATAGCAGAAAAGTAACAATAGTAATTTAATCCCATAATAACACCCTCTACATTCCTTTTCCATTCATTAAACAGCCACTGATTTTTTCGCTCAGATAGCATCTGATTCAGACTCTGGCACTGTTATAACAAAATATTGTGAGTCATGTGGTGACTAATGCAGCGTAGCAACAGTACCTTCACCATCACAGATGTTCTGGTAGGAGTCCCAGCGGGTTAGAGGATCTGCTGTGTTGTAGTCCACAATAACATCTGTCCCATTTTGCCACCTGTCGGCACCTGGACCCAAAAATAACATTATTGTAGATACTGTATGTAGCTGTTTTTTTTAACTACATTTTTACTACTACATTTTACTGCATTTCCAGTTTAAAAGCCTCAAAATGAAGTTAGACAGTCAGGAAAATATGTTTATTCACTTTCTTACCAAGAGTTAAAGAGTTATATGAGAAGATTGACATCACTCTCATGTCTGTATGCGAAATATCAAACTACAGCCAACAGGCGGTTAGCTTAGCTTAGCAGAGGGAGTAGAAGCTTGGTTTAGTTATTTTAACATTTCAATTTTTGTAAGGAATCAACAAACCAGATATAATGTGTTGACTAATGAGCGTTAGAGGTAGTGGAAAACAGTTTTTACCAAACGACAGCCAGGGTAGCTGCTTATCCTACTTTCATTCGTTTTGCGAGGCTAAGCTAATTGTGTCCTGGCTGTAGATTCATATAGCATACAGACATATGTAAGTGATATATCCACCTTGTCATCTTACTCTCTGTGATAAAGCAAATAAGTGAATCAGCATATCATGGGTTAATAACAACAAATAAAATCCCAAGGTTTTACTGTGAGCCCTGAAGATGTAGATTGAAATCATATCTATGTCATTTTTCTGAGGAACAACATTGACTGGAAATATCACATTTTTGATCAAAAAGGCGACACAAACCAGTCTTACCCTAGGACAAATCTTTCATCATGTTACTGTGACATAAAATGTTGTCATATTTTAGAAAGGTGTTTAACATACACACACACAGACCCATACAACATAGTTTCATTCCTGTGGGGATCTGGGGCAGCACATGCTGTGCTTCTTTACCTCTCTGTCAGCACACACTTCACACTACATTTCCCCTCTGCAGCATTCCACATCCCTTCTCACCAGGGGGCAGAGGGGGAGGAACAGAGCACAGGACGGCACAAAGGGAAAAATAGAGAAAGCACTGTGTCCGCTTTTCCAACTAAGTCTCCCTGTAGCAACTTTTGAAAAAGATGAAGAGTTAGGAATCTACCTGGGATTCTCTCCGGTCCCTCGGAGAACACCAGTTCCACTTTACCATAATCGGGAAATCTGGGATCTGGAATATAAACACAAAGGAATGCCGTTGCCATGCAGAAATGGAAAGATGAATGGTGTTGTCTGTGAGTAGGATTCTCTCAGTACACGTAACATGTTTAGGAAAACAAGATTATTGGTCTCAAAGTGCCAAGTCTAAATTAAGTCCAGACTGAGCCCTGCAGATGCTGCGTGGAGCAGGGGAGTCGCTGTAAACTAGTGGCGGCACGTTGAGACCTGTTCTCAGGTTGTTGTTTTTTTTTTTTTTTTGTTTTTTTTTAAAGTCTACCTTTGCTGGCAGCCTCCATGTCTTCTTTTTCAAACATCAGGTTGTAGCCCTGCACTGCTCCCGTGTGGAACTGCAGCCGGAAAATAACTTCACGCTCTGAAGTGAGGTCACTTTTGTGATAGCATTTAATCTACAAAAAAAAAAAAAAACCCACAAAAACATTGTGATTACTTCAATGGGAACTGATGTCAGAATCTCTGAGAAAGCATCTTGTTTCTTTCCCTACCATGATGTCCCCTTTTAGAAGCTGGGCAGGCTCCAGGGTGATGCATACCCGGTCTCTGTGGCCTGGACCAATGTGACTGTAACAAAAACAACAGAGGAGTCGGTCAGTGTGAGCCAGAGTTTGGAAGCAATCACAGATATTTACAGAAAGCAGTAACTCACAATTAAAATCACCATTAAACGAAGTTAAACGGAAAATTGCTTTGAAGTATTCCAGCATTCTTTGAAGTAAACAATAATGTTCAAATTACTGTACCACAAGTGTAAACTACTTACTAGATTCCAGATGAATACACTGCTTGCATTCCCTGGTAAACCTTGATGTATGGACGACAAACTGAAAAAAAAAACAACAAAATAAATGAAATTCTCAAAAAATGTTTGTTACAAGTGCATCGAGAGCATGGCCTCAAGAGTAGCTGCTCAGATTGTTTTGCTCACAGCTAACGTGTGATAAGCTATTGTTGTGAGAAAGGGATTTCAGCCCCACGATGTGACGAAAACCTCTGTTGTTTCAGTGAAAATTAGCGAAAACAGCAATTTACATGCAAACATGGGTGTGAATCCCCATGAGTTTACTGGGAACCCATAAACACGCTCTTCTCCTCATTTATGTTTATACAAGTGCCTCTATCTGCCTGAGCATGCACGTGTGTGTGTATTGGAAAAAGAGAAAGATATAAAATAAAGATAAGTCTCCATCTTGTTTACGGCTCCAACTCTGATGTGGTTATGTCTGGATTCTTTTATGCTGTCGCGGCAGAAGCGACTGCATTTTCATCAGGAGCTGCAGCTGTGTGTAGTGGTAAACAATATACAACAATAACCTCCAGTGGCGTCGAAGTTTGGTATCCCATGAAGGATGACACAGTGCAGGAACAAGGGGGAGGCGTTGATCTTCATGGATCCACTTAACAGACTGTTGAGGATCCAAACATACCTGACATGAAAGCATAGAGACCGGTCAAAATCAATCAGAGGCCAAGGTATCTTGTCTTTTATTCACAAGAATGGGTTGAGATCCACAAATGCTGGATCCTACTTTCCATAATGTAATTTGATACTGCTTTTCTCATTAAATCCTCCCTAACAGGTAGATGTCCATGACTTTCAAACTCCACAAGGCCAGTTAAGGCCATTATTTTGGTTTTTGTACTTAGGCACTCAGGTATCATATTGGGATTAATATAGATTTTTTTTTTTTTTCTTCATCTGCCCCTGTTGTCACTGATGAAGGTTTTTTTTTTCAGATAAACACAGCAGCTAGAAGAGATTAGAACAAAACAAACAGAAGACACCAGTTCAGTTTAAGAGTCATCAGTGTGAGCGATGATGATTCATAGTGATACAGAAGATTAGGATTACATCGCGTTTCCATGGGATCCCATTCTCATTACAATGAGCATCAATGACAAGGCTTCTCAGTGACAAAACAGACAAACAGCACCAGGACACCCAAAGTGTTGTATTGAATCAGGTGTGTCTGGGACATGAATGTGTTTGGATGAGGACGTGGGTCAACAAAGCACCAGCAACAACACATGGTTAGACGCATGTTGCTATGCAGAAGGGCGTGCTTATGTTTTGGGTCTTACCGTTTCTGCGAAGGTGTCATCAGAGCTGAGACCTTATCATCGTAGTATTTCCTCATGGCGAAGCGGTCCAACGCCTGATCAGCACTTTGAGGGAGACAGGGAGATACATTAAACACTTTAGGCAATTATGACTCGAGAGAGATTACACTCTGCTGCTCTATAATTGAATGGTGTTAACCCTGACTTCAATTAGGACAACACACACACACACACACGCACACACATGCATGCACGCACACGCGCACACACACGCACACACACACGCACACACACGCGCGCACACACACACACACACACACACACACACACATGCATAATTGACAAGAGTGAAAGTAACCAGAGAGACAGGGGATTCCAGCAGAGAGGAAGAGAATGCCAGCCTTAAGTAAACACGGAGGGGGAGAGGAGGACAGAGAGAGGCCAGAGTGTGTGCACAGCTCGGCTGTTCAGACAGACCTAAAACCAACAGGCGCTGGAGCCTTTTCACCACAGCTCTGTTTCTCTCTCGTTGTCCCTCTCCCTCTGCCCCCCGCCCCCAACCCTCCCTGAATCTATTCTATTGTAAATCTGCCTCATTGTTTTCCTATCTCTTCCTCTACTCCTCTTTTTGCCCTCTGTCTTTCACGTTCACCTTTACCGACCCGTTCTCCCTCATCGGGATACAATCACCAAGGGAAGTAGAGATTGGCTAAATCGAAGCCTGATGCGTGCTAATGCTACAATGTCTGCTGCTGTGCAGAGAGGATCTGCACAGCAGCATAACACCAGGCCATCTCTCCAAATGTTTGCAGCATTTCTTGACTTCAGGGCTCAGTAAAGCACCAGCCTCTGAGAATTTGTTTGACTGACAATGGTTAGAAAATGGGTTGGAATGGGTTTTCTTCACGATGAATAGATTTCATGAAACTGACACTGTGGCCAGAAGCTATTACAGTAACTAACATGTTTCCAAGTTGATTCATGCAATTCAATATGGGGTGATTCATGGCTTAAATTGTGTGGTTTTCCTTTTTACTTTGAATGAGGCGGCTTTTTCTCTGACTCACTTTCTGATTCACCTTGACCCCAAGTCAAAAGAGGTAAATAAATCAGCTGTGGTTAAGTGATGACTTTGCTTGTGGTCTACAAAATGAGTCTTCAAGGAGTGCCGCAGTGTGCTGTTGTTATCGTTTGCTGCCAGCAGTGAGTGCGTGCGCACACACATTATGATGAATCCTAACCTCAGTGCAAACATTTGTAGAAACATACCATCAAAAATGTGAGACATGGCGGTGGTTACCTGGCCGACACATCGGTGAAATGCACAAAAGATGAAATGACAACACCGATTCGACCCTTGCCGCCCTAAGGAAACAAGAGAGGACAGGAGATGATTCACTACACATTCTGCACTCGTGGTTTTACTCTGTTTCCAATGCCCCAAAATTACTATGAATGATGGGATCCCACATAAACACACTATTTTCTGTCGAAGTTAGAACAGTTTTCATTTTTTCACAAAAGAGAGAGAGAGAGAGGAATCTGACTTTATTTTTAAAACAAAAACTGTCCTTTCATGTTATAGAGGAATATTTAGGATTTGGGGTCAGGTTTCCAGAGGCACATACAACAAAAAAGTAGTAGAAGTAAGTAAGTAAGTAAATGCTAAATTGTTAATGATACAACACGACCTGTAGATGCTCACCCTGCAGTGTATAACCACCACATGTAGAGGGTCAGCATTGAGCCAGCTCTCCATGGCCTTGCAGATGGTGCAGATCTTATCCAGAGGTGGAGCGTGCATGTCCGGCCAGCCTGTATCCAGGGTCTGAAAACACATCATACACTGTGAACAGATATCATATTTTTCTGCACAGCTTCATCCTCTGTCCCTATGCATTACCAATCAATATTATGGTGTTTACTTTTGCCTGGTCAGACACAGCTGATCACAAGAGGATGAGCGAGATCTACTTTGCCACTGGAAAACTATTGTGTTTTGTTCTTTCCCAGACTGATATATATGCATATTGATATACTTGTCCTGATAGGATTTCATTAACTTTAATGCAGATGATTGTCACTTAAACTTACCTTGGGGTTCATTTTAGAGAGATCATGTCTTCTCTCCGAGAGGTTAATAATCTAAAAGAAGAAGTACAAAAAAGCCTATGATTTAAAATGTCATTTAAAAAAAAAAAATAGATGATGGCATATGACACTTGTGTTTTAACGACTTACTGTTACATCATCATGATTAAAAGATGAGCTAACCACTCTGGGATCAATACTTTTATGTCAATATTCCATGAAAGCCCATCAGCTCAGACATCAATACTGTTTTGCACTTTGACACTTGGCTGCGGCACATTTCAAGGTGAGACAGCGAGCAGCACATGAACCAGCACTGACCAGGTAATTATCTGCATGCTTGGACTTGAGCATTCGCGTGACATCCTTCAGGTTGTGTGAGTAGATCTCCTCTGAGCATCCCCGGGGGAAGGACACGGCAATGATACGTTCTGTGATATACGTGAGGTCGAGCTCATATCCCTCCTCCATCCCTGAATCTTGGGACTTCCTGTCAAAAAAACATGCCGAAAGCAGACATGCAACTGGATAAGGTTCTTCAGCTACCTCACACTGTAAAGTCACCCAGGCAGGTGACTTTACTCAAGTCAATATTTGATGGTCAAAGTCCTCAGCATTAGTCATTGTGCCCGGGTTTCCTGCAGATATCTTTACAGAATGACCTCAATTCCAGATTGAGATAGGGACAGAGGGTGTCTTGTTTGCACAGCAACAGTCAACAGTGTGTGTCACAAATACTGTACCAGTTGAAATGAAACAACAAATCAGGGGCTTTTTGACATGAGAGATGATTGTTGCTTATCTGTACTGCAAAGAGAGATAAAGTACAGTGGTATCCAAAGATTGGACACCAGCAATCTTGTTACTACACTCAGTCACTCGGAGCTACAATGACAAAGATGGAAAAAAAAAAAAAAAAAAAAACATTCAAAGAATTCCGGTTGAAACCAGTTGCTGTAAATCCCTGAGTGATGGCGTGTCCCTGTGACCTCATGGCCATAAATTCGCTGCGGTGGTGGTCTAGGAGAGAGCCTGCCCCGCCCCCCCCCCCCTAAACACAGCACCCCCACATTCACCGCACCACACCGCAGTTGTATGTACACCACACCACACACACCACACCCACACCCACACCCACACCCACACACATCCCTTACTCTCTTATCTAGTCATCTCTGTATGCTCTGTGTTGGTTGTTAGTAGTGTCGCTGTGAACACTAGTGCTGACATTATATTAGTTGACTTATCAACTTACAGCTGTTTACAGCTTTTATCATGTATTTCCAGCTTATTAACTGTGAGGATTACCGTTACTGCCGTTATATTCACAACTGAAAAATTTTTGTCTGTCAGTTCAAATCATTGCTGCAGAAGCGCCGTCTCTTCTCGGGTTTGATAGAACCTTGATGTGTTAGTTTCATTACGTTTTGATTGCTTTTTTTTATGGTTTTAGACAACTCTTGGGTTTGTCCTCATGGGCTTTTTAGGAATTAATTATACATCACTGTGTTAGAAATGCTATTCATTATTTGTATGTAATATGTAATTCATTGTTATTGCAGGCTTTAATGGCCAGGACACTTTGAAAAACGACTCAAAAATACCGTCCTGGTTAAATAGAGGTTAAATAATTAGATAAATTAAATAAAAATGCAGTTTTTGATTTATATGATTAAGGATGTGTTTGAGGATTTTCCACAGAAGTACTCCCAGGTACTTTCCAGTTATTACGAAGGTGGCGGAAGTTCATAGAAAACTAAACTTTTATAGCTTCAAGTAAGGACTCCCTTCTGTGTGCTGGTAGAATCGAATAAGCTATCTCCTTTAATTGAAGATGAGTCAAAACTTCCTACCCCCTTTGATGCAAAGGCTAAACACTGGCTGCAAGATAGCATTACCTAAAAGAGTGTGGATATATTAATGTTTGTTTTATTTTAACTTGTTGATATTTGCATTTTGGAACTATTGTTCCTGGAATAAGATGTTTTGATTGTTTATATGATTTTTCTTGAAAAATGGCTCAACAAATCGATTAATCAACTTATCATTTGAGCTCTTTTCTATCCCTGACAAAAATTTTATATAGAATATAACAATATAAATGTATTGTTATTGTCAAACCACACCAAAACCTACTTTCTGACTGATCCAGATTTAGTCACCAGGTCAACGACTAGGTCAAAAAAACAAAACAAAACATTGATTTATACATGTTCATGAATTCACACAAGCACATACTCTCCCCCAAACAGAAACACATTCCTAAAGTTTCCAAAGATATCACCATCCGTCTTGAATGACACCGATTGTTTGTTGTGATTAAACGATCCACAGTCAAGAATGTGTCCGTCAATTAAGTCTGCAATGACTGCAGGCTACTGCCCAACACTTTGAAGGGGGCCAGGGAGGGAGCCATAAACCAGGGACAGTGTAGCCACGGTTTAAACCAACCCTCAGAGTGGAATGAAAGAGGCCATGTGTATGAAGAGGTCATCACTCGGGGAAACGGGGCTGGGTGTTTTGTGAGTGTGTGTGTTGGTGGAGGTGGTGGGAGTGAGAGGAGAAAGAGGTCCTCAGGGATTGTTGGAACTAATGGCGGGGTTAGTCTATTTCCCCTGAGACTCTGAAGAAAAACTGTTGACTAATGGGAAATTAATGAACAGGTTGGCCAGTACTTAGGCTCTGTGTATCTCCAGGGCAGGGGTATGGCAAGAAGGCTTAGTAATGTTTTGGAAGTGTCAAAGCACTGTGCTAACTTGAGATGGGAAGGGTATCTAACCAACACTTAACCTCTATGTGACCCAGGGGTGTGAAAAATGCTACTAAATTAATTTGGTAAAACAATCATGAGTTTAAAATTTTTAACGATGTTAAAGAAATATTTTAACATTTTAAGAGATACCCTCATCTGCTTTCTCAGAGAGAATTAGATGAAAAGCTTGATACCACTCTTATGTCTGTAAGGTAAAAATAAAGCTTCTGCTAGTAGCCTGTTAGCTCAGCTTAGCATAAAGACTAGGAGCAGGGGGAAACTGCCTGTCCAAGGATAACAAGGGTAACAAAATCTGCCTACCAGAACTTCTAAAGCTCACGAATTAACAAGCTGTATCTTGTGTGTTTAATCCACACAAAAACAAAACCGTAAAAACGACACGTTGTGGCTTTACGGGGAGTTAGTTGCCAGACTATTTCATAGAAAGGCACAGTAACTTCCTACTTACTTGCTTATGCCAAGAAATAGTTTGGCACATAACTCCCCGTATGACCATGTGATATTGTTACTTTTTTCATTTTTGGACGTGTTGTCATGCTGGTAGGCCGATTTTGTTGCCAGGATAAATATTTCCCTCAGTTTCCAGTCATTACGCTAAGCTAAGGTAACCAGATGTAGTAGCTTCGTATTTAACAGACAGACATGACAGTGGTATGAATCATCTTGTCTATCTCTAAGCAAGAAAGCGAATAAGTGTATTACCCACAGTATTGAAGTATTCTTATAAATTATTGATTAAATAACCTATTTCAAGGTAACTAAATAAAGTAAAATAAAGCTTCAAGTCACTTCAATTAAAATCCATGAAGATCCACAAAAGTTGATAACATATTACACAACAGAATAAATCCTAAAACATCTAAATATGAACTTCAGGCCTATTAATTTCACATGAATCATTCATGCGCAGCGCTGCAGTAACCAACATCCTTTTCCTCCTAAGACCTCTCGCTTCTCCCACTCATCATTCAAGCCAACACGAGCGACTTGCCCCAGCACGCACTAAAGATAATTGGTCTTTAATTTGCACTGACTGCTTTTGTTCCTGGTTTGAGGCACAGCATTAGCTCACAAAGGCAGAATAAGCAGTGCCAAGGAACTCAAATCCCGAGCCCACCCATGGCACTGTGAGAGCGAGCCTGGTAGAGGAGTGGGGTAGGCAGAGAGATTCGGGAAAAAGGGGTTGCCAGGTCTGCTCTGTGCAAGCTGCAACAGGTTTACTAAGGTCAGGATGTTGGGGGATTAGGGTGTGTCTGGCTCCCCCAGCTCCACACTCTGCAGGTAAGAGCTTGACTAGGCTGCGTGGGTGCTGTCAGCCACGTTCTCACATGCATGACTAGCTCCAAATACCTTTCTCTCAATTGCCCTGAACAATGTTGAGAATAAATTCATCAAACGTTCTATTTATGAGTTTTAAAAAAGCGCAGGGACGGCAAGAGTAGGGAGGAATATTTAAGTGCTGGGATGAAGCCTGCTTCTATTTCAGGAGCCACACCCTTCACCTGGCCCACACGGTATGGAATCTTCCATTTTGTATGAGCAGGTGGACCACGAGATGAAAGAAGGCGGCATCATGTAATAGAACGTGAACTGCAGGGGGATCTGTCTCAAACTCCAGACATGAGTAAGTAAGTCATACCCTAAGGGTTAAATCACAGCCTGATCATGTGAACGGTGACCTCATACTCGCTGTTTTCATTTTTTGAGCCCACTGTAGTGACAACAGTTGCCAAAAACTTTGCACGCTTGTCTGTCACAAATAAGAAGTCTCTCCCACACCTCAGCTTGAGCCACAGAGACCGAATCCGTTTACGTGAAAGTTTGTTTGTATGTGATTACACCGGTTGCTACATGTCAACAGGCTCCCCCAGCTGTATCTTCCATCAGAGATCTCTGCGTGGTCATCACCATGCAGATCGCTTTTACATATTTGTACAAAGGAGTGAAAGAAGAAATGCAGGATAGAGAAATAACCATCCAGAAATTTTGGGCAGCAACTATTATTTCTTTCTATGATTGATTGATTCATTTTCAGTTCTTATTTTGATTATTAAAAAAACAAAACAATGACAAATTGCAATTACAAGTTGCCATCAAAGCCTAAAGTGATATGATTTTTTCTCAACAAGTACCCTGAAGCCCAGAAGAATCAAATTTTGCAATGTTATGAACTAGAAAACACTACATCCTTAAACCTGAGCAGCCGGAACACACATTCACCAAATAAGACCCTTAGATCTACCTCATCCATTAATTTATATTTAAATGGATAGGATGAAAATTAGTAAGCGATGCAAAGTGACCACACAGAACTAAAATCTCCACAAACATGGCCCTACACATATGAAAGCAATCACGGCATCCCTTCCCCCATTCACACTCTCAAATCAAACTGAATTGCTTCTCTTGGCTCAAACTTCTGGTTTATGATTGACATGTTGTGGCAACAGCCTCCATTTTGTGACAGCCTGAATATTTTTATAGGTCCATTAAAGTGAAATGATGTGTCTGAAATGAAAAATGGGTGCAGTGATATTCATCACTAATGGGAGAAAGAAAAAAAAAAAAAAAACACAACACTTTTCCGAATAGCACCAGACCTCCTGTTACACCTCGACGCAAACTTTGTCTAGTATACAGACTGCTGTGCTGCTACGGTTTACAGCTTCAATTCAATGTGAGGTGATAAAGCTTGTCCAACCCCAGCTTCTAGATGCTGGCTCTGTTCTGCACCAACGGAAAATAGCCCACCTACACATAAAGTACACTAGTGTCTCTTTGGGAGACTCTGGACACATTAATGATCTCCTAAACTGTTTGTCTGCAGACATGAGTAACACCTAAAGTGCCATAAATGCTTCAGGAAGTCTGGCTGCCTGTGAGGGTACTGCTGAAATGTTTCTTTTTCTTTCTTTTTTTTTTACTTTAAGCATTTGTATTAATTTAGCTACATTTCTTATTCCTATTACCTTAATTTCTTTGTTTGTCCAGCACATGAAAAGAACTATTCATGCCTGTTTACCACTCCATCAGATGAGAGGAGCTGCACAACCAGAACTGATTTGTTTCTTGCCCTTGTCCTCTGGCTGTAGCCCCCAGCTGGTATTTAGCGTTCACATCTAATAGCCATCTAATAACCTTGATACCATCAGCTTCCCTGTTCCAAACCGCCTTGTATTCATACTTGGCACGAGCGAACGCCTCATGCTGCTGGATAACATGTCCACAGTGACATAACAGGCTGGTTTAAGGGCCCAAAGAGGGACAAGGCCACAGTTTGTTCTGGCCTTTTCCTGTCAGGGGCTCTATGTGTTTACGCTGTGGCTTTGACACCCATTCACTGCTGAAGAACTGAAATAAACAAAACCATGAGAACTATTGAAAAAAAAAAAGCCACGGAATAAAGGAGCCGGGCATTTTTAGCAAGTTTATTTTGTAACCCTGGAACTATAACATGTATTTGTGCCACTATTTTGAAGGGAATAAAAATGACAGCCCTGGCTCTGAGCAAATCAGTGCACCCTTAAGGCTCCTAAAGTACTCCCTAATTACCGTTTTTTATCCCAAGGTCATAGTGGAATGCGTTCCAAAATGGATTACGTTCCCACTCTCGCTCTCTCATTCTCTACATCTCTTTTGCTTTCCCCTCTTTCTTGCCATTCTTGCCCCTTTATTACTTCCAGTCTCCCTCCTTCTCCAGGTTTCCTTCTCTCTCTTTAATGGCTTACACATGTCAGCCAAGTGGCCGTGGCACTGCTGTGACAAAGTGAAATGCCCCCAGTGCTCTGTCCCCATGCTGTTCCTCCCAGGGTTAGATCACAGTGTTCTGCTTACAGTACACAATCCCCAAGCTACTGCCAACCCACCTGTCCAAACCACACTATCAGGATCCCCGCTCATCAGTCGCTCTGCCAGCCCTTTGTAATTGCCGGCTGTTATCAGCAAGAGAAAATGGACACTTTCTGACGCACATTTCTTTCGCCTTGAGGGACAGATATTGTTCATACGACTTTGACCTCAAAATAGAACCGGCAACAAAAGATGTAATTGCCAGTACAAAAACGTTTCTCCTGTCTCTCTTGGTCTGTAATTAAAGCTAATCTCGAAGGAGTTTAGCCTGCAAAATGTGAGGAACAACCTGCATGGTTTATGCTGCTTGAAAGAAAGGTGCGCGACAGGGTGTACAGTACATGCAGGTGTGCGTCTGGTTTGCCAAGCAGGGGGAAAGGGAGGGAAGCGATATCCAGGTGAAGAAGGCTGTAGCTGCTGTGATGTAAGGACGCTTGTACATGTCATCAACAATGGCTGCCTGAGAAACATAGCCCTAAGGCCACAAATACCACGCAGCAGCTGTAGCTCAAAGAAGAAAGCCAGACTCTCTCGATCTGTTTGTCTCCATCATTTATCCATCAGCAGTTCAGTCCAAGCAGTCAGCAAAGGACAAAGTGGGCCTGTTTCTTTTGGCGCTCTATAGACTATTGGGTACAAGTCTTCCACAAGAATGGCCCCATATGTTTCACATTATAAAGGTCTCCAGTACACCGAGGCCCACAACAGCAAGGAACCCCAAATTATAGCTACTGCACAACACAATTCATTGAGAAAGACAAGAAGGCTAAAAAGAAAAAAAAGCTAAAATGACTCAGTCAGGCCAAGCTTCAGGGAGTTCAATTCAAAAGGCTTTCAATAATACTCTTTCACATTAAAAAGGGGAAAAAAACATCACAAGATCAGTGTTTGCTCAGTTTGAATGACTCCCTTCTCTGTCTTCAGAGTCCTGCTGAAAGAGCTGGTGCACACACACACACACACACACACACACACACACACACACACACACACACACACACACACACACACACACACACCCCTGGTTTTACTAGGGCTCAAAGCCAAAGTAAATACAGAGAGTGGTGCCTTGTTTTGCTGTTTTGAATAAATGAGCAAACTCAGTGAAATGTGACAGAGCAAAGGGCTAAAGAGAAGGAGGAGGAAAAAAGGTTGAAAGGTACTCTAGTGTGTGGAAGTCTAATCCTACGTTTAAGAAGTGACCAGCCCGACTTTTAAAACCCTCCCTGCTAATGATTGACCGTGGAAAAGTTCAGACACCGTGCCTTACCTTTTCAAACTGAGAGCGAGTACTTTGATTCTTCTTCTTTTTTCCCCCCCTCTGATTCCCTTTGTAAGTCAGAGCTGCTGAAAGAGAAAGAGTGGGGTAAAGTCCTGAGTCAAAGAGCCCTCAGCCCGTCATACAGGCTTAGAGCAGGCTGAGAGGCTCATTTCCCTCTGATGGAATGTGCTCTCTGTCTCAAGCCCGATCACAGGCGCTTCTGCGAGCTCACTTTGTCCCGGCTGGACCCAGTGCTCTCCTCGGGCCTTTTCTGTGGCTGACGGTGATAAAAAGAAAATTGGAAGCTTCAGCACGGTTCCTGAACTACTGCTGCTGCTGCTGCTGCTGCTGCTGCTGCCTGCTGTTCCTGCTCAGCCCCCCAACACACTTCCTCCAGTCCAAGCTGCCGCTGCAGCCGCCACAAGTCCTGGCACGGGATAGTCCTCCCACTGCGCCGCTAGGGCTGTCTCCCTTTTTCCCTCCCCCTCTCACTCTACCTCCCCTATCTGTGGCCTCCACCCTCTGCCTCCCTCCATTTGTTCTCACCCTCACCCCTCGCACGCAGTCAGACTTCCTCCAGACACCCCCCCTCCCTTAGGACCCCCCAAAAACTCCTTCACACGTGAAGACTGGACAAGTAGCGATAAAATTAGCTTTTTGGTGTCAGACCATTAAATCATAAAATTAATTCTACATTTTTAAAAAGGCGTTTCATCACCATCAGGGCCCACCTAAGTCAAATTCTATGTCTGCGATCATATATGGAAGATAAGAGACAGAAACATGCGCATTTATCTAGAATCCTACAGTTCATTACCTAAAATAAAAACTGATGTCATATTAATTTAGCCAAATTTACCTAAAAGGTCTGTAATGTATTTTATGTCTATGTATAAAAACACAATAGCTAAACTGCTAAACTAAGTAAAACTTTGTGGTTCAATTGTACAATATATTTCTGTAGGGGCAGCAGTAGTTTTCAAGCCTAATAACTTCATAAATAATTTACTCATTAGTTCAATTTTACATATTCATTATTGTTTAACTGACAAATTTATTTATTAAATTGAAATCTTAATCTCCAGCAGTGTCTTGTTACAGTTAGTTTAACTTTAGCGCAGAAGAGACTTCTCTGATGATACATAACGTTTGTTCACATCAACCACATAGGGACCAAAATGATCAAATTGCCAAAATGACTTTATGCATTGCAGGTGAAATTTCCATTATGTTTATTAAAGTCTCTAATACAACAGACAAGTTAATGTTATACTACAGCCAAAGTCTACAATTTTATTTTCATACCTCTGGTAAAATGTCAAGTTGGGAGTTGTGGTGGGATCACAAGCTTGCAATTAAACAGTTTTAGCATGACTACTAGCGCCATCCATAGGTAACAATGGATACTGCTTTTGATACAAGGATAAACAGTGAACCTTTTCAGCTTTTACTGCACAATGCAGATATCCAGCTAGTGAATGAATGAATGAATGAATAAATGTATGAGTGGTAATTGTTATGACATTTTTATTTTTTAATCGCTTGAATAACATTTTAGTGGCAAAGAATATATATAGTATAGTTATAATCAATACTATGGCAAGTCAGTATTTTAAGCCAAACCCTTAGCATTTGCAACAAAAAACGTTTTTTTCTAAAAAACAGAAGGAAACATGGGTTACATGAATCAAGCTGCATTAGAATAAAAAATAGCTAAATCAATTCTGAGCGCATGCGCAGCAATAACACAATGTTACATTCTATATGTTAAAATGAGCAATGACAAATATATTCATTCAAAATGTATGCATTAGAACAAGAACATGAATTACACTGAGCATTATACTTAATATTCAAAAACCAAATCACCAAAAACTGCAAACAATCAAAACATTTCAACTAATAAGATTCAGTATTTAAACAGATCTCCCAAAATCTATTAAGTAGCCGAAAAAAAAATGTTTAGAAAAGCAAACAGTTAAAAAGGTACTCAAATTGCATAGCGCTAGTAATAAGCCTTGCCTAATTTTATTCCTTTGCTCTGCAATGCATTAAGAGGAAGAGTTGTAGGTGGTACTGCTGGAAGAAAAGCTGTAGGTGTAACTGGAGGAGTAATCCACACTGCCTCTGCGAGATCCACTCCTGGAGCCAGTACGGGAACCAGCCCTGGACCCAGAACGAGATCCTGGGTTGGAGACATTGTAAGGGCTGCTGATTCCCTTAGTGGACACAGAGGAAGCCTGCAGCATCTTCATACCATTGCTTTCCTCTACCATGCAGCTGTCCATGGCTTGCTTGTAGGAGATCTTCAGTTTTGTCTTGGGGCAGGTCAGGTTCTTCTGGTGATTCCGTGAATCCTGAAGCTTCTGGGCACCTTGACCATCAAGCCACCCCTTGCGGATAGCCTCTTCAATGGTAATGCGACGTCCAGTGCCGGGCTCAATCAGGCCTCCTGTCAGGTACTGAAACTCCAAAAATCTCTGACCTGCCTCATAAGGTAGCCATGTCTCCTTGACTGCTTCTGCTGCAGACATCTTTCTTTTAGTCTTCACATCCTCGAAACCAACATAGGCTTTCTGTGCAGGTTTCAGCTTCATAGCCATGCTTTCATCAATGATGGACTGATGGACCGCATCCTGCAGCGATAGTCTCTCGCCAGTGGCAGGGTTGATAATACCACCTGTGCATGCCTGGGCCTCAAGCAACCTCTGTGCTGTAATAGTGTCAACTATGCCTCTTCGGAGCCCTTCGGAAATAGTTATCTTCTCCAAGGTCTCTGTGTCAAATATGGCTGCCACAGGGCTCTGATCATCAAACATCTCAGGGGGGGAGACAGTAATAGAAATACTGCTAAAGCGTTTACGGACGGTAGGAGAGGACGGTGAGGCCTGGGTGGGGCTGCTGCAGGTGACCATGTCATCAACATTGCTAGCTGTAATGGTCATGTCAGTGCTCCAAGCTCTGCTGGTAATTTGGTCAGCAAACTGAGTCAGGGTTAGCGTTCCAGCACGATACTGATCCAAAGACTTCTTTTCAATGATACCACGCTCCAGACAGTCCTGGATGTCATACTGGGTTCCTGTTTTCCTATCCACTATCACCAAACGTGAAGAACCATCTGACCCCTTGATAGTTATTTCCTCCCACTCACATTCTTGCTCTGACAGGTCCAGGAAGGTGTCGTAGTCAATCAGCTCCCGATGATAGGCCTCCCTGACTGACATCTCCAGCCCGGTGTCTGGGTCAACGATCACAACCCGCCTCTTGCGGAGGACATTGGTACGGCTTTCCTGCGTCTTCTGGGGCTTCTTCTTGTCTTTGAGCGGCAGGAGTATTAGGCCTGTTTTCGCATCTGTGATACACCTGTCCTTCAGCTGAAGATATGTCAGGTTTTCCCTGGTATTAGGGTCAAAGAACCCTTTTGTGTCATCCCCTTCATAAGTTAGGATCTCATTCATCTCTTCATCAAAATACCCCTTTTTATAGGCAATATCAACATCAATACGGTGGCCCTGTTTGGGGTCAATAATCCCACCACTGGCAATTTGGGCCTCAAGCAGACGGATTCCATGACCTCTCTCAATAAGATCTTTCTCAATAGCCTGGAAGAGGGAGATTGTCTTTCCTGTGGCTGGGTCTGTGTATCCAGTTACAGCCTTCTCTGCAGACAACAGCTTATTCTTAAACTCTTTCCCTATCAGGCATCTCTTTGTGGCTTCCTCCACTGTCAAGAAGACATTGTTGACGGGATCGACAATGAAGCCAGAAGCAGCTTGGGCCTCAAGAAGCTCCAGGGTGGTTCCTCTCATGAGAAGACCTTCCTTCATTGCTTGATATAAAGGTAGGATTCGGTCATTGGCCTCATCATAGATACCCGCAATACAGGTGGAGCCATGGAGATAGGACTTCAACCTTTCTTCAATGTCTTTTAAATTGAGCTTGCCTTGGTTGAGTTTATTCAAGTCAGTTTCATCCAGAAGTCCACTATCGACGAGGTTCTTGATAGGGACCGTACCACGGATACAAGGTATTTCCAGGGGTTTTTCTGGGCCACGGAGCAGAAGCAAGCCAGAAACAGGTTCCACTGTACATTTCTTCCTCAGGTCATTATAGCTGATCTTCTCTTCTGTTGCAGGATCCAGGTAGCAGGTGGGTTTCTTGTTCAAAGCCCTGTAGAGCTCTTCATCAATAAGATTGCGATCCAAGGCCAGATCCTTTGGAAGGAACACACTCAGAACAGGATCCAGTATGCCTCCCACAGACTCCTGAGCCTGTAGCAAGCGGATGGCTGTGTTTTTGTCAATGCGGCCCTGTTTGCAAGCCTGACCCACAGATAACACTTTGCCAGTGAATGGATCTTTGAAGCCTGTGCTAGCTGCTTCAGCTGTCACCAAGACGTCTCTGTCTTCTGTGTCTACAATCCCTCTGGAGCAGGCAGTATCAACGGGCATCTTTTCATTAAATTCAGGGTCCACTATGTAACCTGTTGCTGCTTGAGCTTCCAGAAGCATGAGTGTGCTCTCTGGGCTGAGGAAGTTCTTGTTTTTGGCTTTAGTGAATGGCATTTTCCCATGAGAACCTGTTGTCATGCCAGCAATAACCCCAGTACCCTTTAGACTAAGCTGGATATCCACAGCTACCTCATCCACTGTCTTTTGTCCCTTTAGAAGCTGGTCGAGAGTGGCTTTACTGATTATACCACAGTCGCAAAGCTGGTGGGCTGTGACTTTGCGGCGCACCCCATCAAATATCAGCTTGGACGGATCAATGTTTGGGACCCTCTCATCTGTCTGTGTCTGCTTGTTCAGAGTACAGGGTCCCTGCTGCAGCCTCTGTATCTCTCTCTCCAGGGCATCTCTCTTGACAGCCAGGTCTGACACCTCCTTTTCAGAGCTCAGTAGCCGACTCTTGTACCTCTCCTCAACACTCTTCAGCTCCCGCATCAGCCTTTCGATCTCATTCTTCAGGGAGAGCCTCTCGCGATCAGCCTTGTCTCTGTCTGATTCGCACTGCCTGATCTGGCTGTCTCTCAGCTCATACTGGCTCTTCATATGGTTGAAATCCTTGAGGATGGAATTCTTTTCATCCTGCAGCCGCTGTTTGCTGCGGAGCTCAGTCTCTAGTGTGAGCTTGATGCGGGTGAGTTCCTCCTCTATGCGCTGATGACGATTCTTGTCCTGTTCCAGCAGTTTAAGCTTTGACAGCAAACTGTCCTTCTCCAGCAGCAGCTCACTGTACTGGCTCTGGGAACTCTGCACCATGATGGACGTCTATGGAGAGACAAGAGAACACATTGTTATGTCTGGGCAAAAATGCCAAAATGTTATTTTAACATGCAAAAAGCCACAACTCTTCAGCTGTCAA